TCTTCAAGCTAGTAATTCTGACCAACAATCAACATATCAATCACATAGAGCCAAAACAATGTAGTCATCATCAGAGAATTTCTTCATAGAAATACAGTGATCTAAAGTAGTCTTTCTGTAGCCATGCTCCCCTATAACAGACTCAAACTTCTTGTACCACTGTCTCAGTGCCTGCTTCAAATTGTACAGGCTCTTCTTTAGTTTGCAAACACAATCCTCTTTTTCTACGAAACCCTCTGGATGCTCCATGTATATTTCTTCTTCCAAATCTCCATGTAGCTGGATGCTCCATGTATATTTCTTCTTCCAAATCTCCATGTAGAAAGGTAGTCTTTCCATCCATTTGCTCGATTTCCAAATCAAAATTGGCGGCCGTTCCGAGCACTGTCCGAATGGATGTCATTTGCACAACTAGTGAAAAGATCAAAATCAATACCATTTCTTTGATTGAATCCTTTCACAACCAGTCTAGCTTTGAATCGTGGTTGGGAGCTGTGTTTTGCCTGCTTGATCCTAAACACCCACTTATTCTTCAAAGCTTTCTTGCCTTTGGGCAACTGGCAACTTATTTCACCAGCTCAAATGTTTCATCCTCATGACAGGACTTAATTTCATCTTGGCATGGCTTAAATCCAGTTTCCGTCTTGTGTCTCATTTTCCATCGCATTCTTCCAAAGACTTTTCAGGTTCTCCCCCGTCAGTCGGTCAAGTAACACTATACTCATATGGACTGGATTATCTAGTAGATGGTTGTCAGACTCTACTAGCATCTTCATTAATGTTTAAGAACCTTCCGGTGCTGGTGGCTGAAACATGAAAACCATCAGATTTTCATCTTCATGGTTCATTCTGATAAGGAACTACTTCTGGATTTTCTAACTCTAGCACTTGTTCTTGTGGAACATTTTCTTCATCTCCAATTCGTCTGCATTCTATTGGAGGGACTCTCTGTATATCTGTTGAGTCTTCATCAAATCTATTGGCAGTCTACTTCAATATCTTCAATAGTCTGATCTTCAACAAATATAGCATCACGATTTCTTATAATCGTCTTCTGAATTGGGTCGTAAAACTTATAGCCAAATTGGTCTTGGCCATAACCAATGAATACACACTGTCTAGTCTTAACATGAAGCTTAGACCATTCATCTTTCGGGATATGCACAAAGGCTTTGCAACCAAACACCCACAAATGATCATAGGAAACATTCTTTCCTAACCATACTCTCTCTGGAGTATCATACTATACTATAGAGGGAAACAGAGTGAACGGCGAACTACTGTGAGTAACGCTTCACCCCAAATCTTTTAAACAACTTTGCATGTGAGAGTAAACATTTAACTCTCGCCATGAAAGTTCTGTTCATCCTCTCAGCTAAACTGTTCAGTTGCGGCGTCTTGGGAGGTGTCGTTTGATGTCGAATGCCATGCTGTTTGCAGAAAGCATCAAATGGCCTAGTGTATTCTCCACCATTATCTGTCCTACACTTTAGCTTCTTGACTGTCTATCTCTCAACCAGGTTTAGAAGACTTCAATGTGTATACCCAGGTCTTCCTAGAATGGTCATCGATAAATATCACAAAATATCAATTTCTCCACCATATGACATTGTCAATGGTCCACAACAAACCTTGAATGAATCATATTGTAATACATTCTTCATTCTCGAAGGAGGGGTAATCTTGGGAAAAGCCTACTCTTATTTAGCGTGTTCCCACCAACAATGAGGACACTTGTCTTAGGTTGAACTTCATCCAATCCAGGTAGTACGTTCTTTCTTGCCAGGTTTTTTCTTGCCAGAGTTTTCTTACTCATGTGGCATAGTCATTTATGCCACAATTCAACTGTACTGTCATTCTCCACTACACTCAAAGTGTCTTAGGAGAGTCTCGCATGCATCACTTACAGCTTTCGGTCTTTAGCTACCACAAATGAGCATTTTGTGAGCTTCCACTGACCATTTCTAAAGGTGCTACAGAAACCTTCATCATCAAATCTACAATCGAGATTTGGAAGCATGCTCGAAAGACCATTCCTCATCAGTCTTCTCCTCCGGTTTAGTTCAACTAAACACAGGCAAATGCATTTTAATTGCCATAAGAAGATCTCTCATTTCTCCATATATGGTGATTCCCGCCACTTAGACTGATCATTTTGCTTATCCATTTTAACTTGCGCAGAAAATCATCACCAACATAAACCGTATACGTGAACAGTAGCATACGTGAATAGTGACTATGAATAGTAATAGTCTACTCGAATAGTAACTATATGCGTGAATAGTAACTATACAGGTGAATAGTACTATGCGTAAATAGTGCGGGCTTACTTGAAACGGACTAGCAACAGTAATGCCTGTGCACCATCAACTTTGAGTTATTATTTTACTATTCATCACTAAGTAAATTCTGCAACGTTTTTCCGAGCGGACAGTACCAATGGACTCGTCGTAATTTTCTCTTCACCATGGTATATTTATTTTCAAAATATATCCACGGATCCGATATCGCTATCTGACCGGCTGGATCTGCCGAAACCTTCGGCTCTGATACCACTTGTTGGGCGAAACCTTCGGCTCTGATACCCACCTTGTTGGGCCTCAAGTACCACTTGACTTCAGCTCTGATACCACTTGTTTGGCCCTTTTAATCAATTAGATAAAATTAACCGCAGCGGAAAAAGTAAACTTGTGACACACAGAAATTTACGTGTTTACCCTTGCAGACACACAGAAATTTACGTGGTTTACCCTCAACTGTTTAGGGCTACGTCCACGGGACAAACTCTGAATAATTCTTCCACTATTAAAAAATAGTAGGTACATAGAGCGTGATACAAAAATAGTGGCACACAAAATGTTTCCCAAAAACACCCTAAAATAATTTTCTCACTATTTTTCTCTCTTGTAATTTTAGGAAACCCTTCCTAAATTTAGATTTTTTTTCTTTTCTTTATGCTGTGTTTGTGTGTGTTTGTGTACTGCCTCTGCCTCTATTTATAGGCAGGTTAACGCGTAGCAATGCCGTGTACAACTCCTTTGCCTTCCATTTTTGACTTTCTTATCAAATATGTGTGGATCCCACTTGAGTGGGTATCGACACAACAAAGCAAAGTTAATTATGAGTTCAAAGACTGCTTTGCTTGGAATTATGAGGACATGCCTAGTCTCGATGGAGATATATTCAAGTATTGGTTTTAACATTAATTAAGAATATTATTGTTCAAACAATTCTTGCACCGAATTACCAAAGAAGTGGAAGAATTGGCTTGAGAAGAGATCGAATGATTTCTTGGTGTATTTAGGGTTTCCATCCTTATATATCCTAGTTCAATTACTGATAGACATATATTTAAAACAATGACCAAATTCCCAATAAGATGTTGATCGGGTGTTAACAGACCTCAATACTCGTAAAATTGAAAATACAAATTTGATTCCCGGAAAATGCACTTTATTGGGAAGAAAAAAAATCTTTTACGCTCTATGATCCGAGAAAGATAATAGCAAAAAAAAAAAAAAAAAAAAAAAAAAAAAAAAAAAAAAAAAAAAAAAAAAAAAAAAAAAAAAAAAAAAATCCGTTCAGAATTAAAAAAAAAAAAAAAAAAAAAAAAAAAAAAAAAAAAAATCCGTCAGAATTAAGTTTCACTCGTCCTTTGACTTATCTCTGCTCTAGTTCTTTATTAAAACAATGCACGGTTATTTTGTGGCGATATTATATATCATATATTTTAAAAAATAATTTAAATAATTTTAAATTTAAATATATGAAGCCATGATACTTGTTGGGATTCAAAAGAATGAATAAAACTTTTGAATGGTAGCATATACAAAATTGGATTATGTATTATATAATAATTCAAATTTGTATAATCAAACATTATTATTACTATTTTTCTGTTTATTTAATATTTAAAAAGAATTCTAATTATTGTATAGTTTTGAGATATTTATTTAATTTTGAAAACAATATTTGTTTACAATAATTATAATATTGAAATATATTTATTTAGTTGTTTCTATTAATTTTTAAAGTTATTTTATATTAATATTTTAAAACTTCTAAATAATTTTTATAAATTTTGAATATATCTTTTTTGATACCAACATTATGTATTTAAAAAAAAAAAACGCCCAAAGACACAAACACATATATTTAAATAACCGAAACCTAGATAATTGAAAATAAAATAATTGAAAGAAGTAACAAAAAAAGAAGAAGGAAAAAAGTCATTATGAAAGCAAATCATTGAAACTGATTAAATAGAGATATATATAAACAGATATATGTATACAGAGATAGATTAGAAAAAAAAAAATCAAATTTAATTATTTAAAGTTTTAAATATAGGTATATATAAATATGAAAAAGGAAATGCTCAAAGGTTTTTAAAAAATTGAAAAATTAAAAATTTGAAAAAAAAAAAAAAAAGGAAGAAGAAGAAAAGAAATGCTCAAAGGAGAGAATGTCGTATTAGTGATAGATTTTTGTGAATAACAATTATTTATTGACTTAGACTTAAGCAAGCCTTATCCTTTACTACACCTATTCGATGAATTTAAAGGCTCGTTTGGAATTTTACTAAAATTTATATATTTAACATTGGTTTCGGTTTTTATTTTAATAAAAATATAAAATTTGTCATAGACAAAAAACGTTTCTTTATAAAAACACATTGTCATATTTGGGAGTTAGCATTTAGTCCATTTGGTTCAATCTAATGGACAGAAATTTTTGGATATAAATCCAATTAGATTAAATAGTTTACAAAACTAAATCAATTATATGATCAATATGATTTGATTCAGTCCGGTTAGATAGTTTTAAGATCAAATAGAATAGATTCAGTACAGTTCGATAATTTTGTTTTCCGAATTGTGCTCAAGTTCAATCCTTGTCATATTCCCTAAGTGTCTCCATCTCCATCTCCATCTTTGTCCCCATCTTTTCTTGAGCAAACATTTGCCACCCATTATTGATATGACATTTTCTTATCTCTTTATCTCCTTTGTCTCCGTGCAGAATTCTTCTCTTTACTTTGCATACAACTCCATTTCTCTTCCAAAACAAGAAGTAATCGCCACATTTCAATTTCTTTATCTCTCTCCATGGATTCAACCCTTTCTGAAGAAGTTGCTCATGACTTCTCTCCCTTACTTCGCATATACAAAGATGGCCACGTAGAGAGATTAGCTGGGAATGACATAGTCCCTCCTGGTCTAGACCATAATACCCAAGTCCAATCCAAAGATGTCATATACTTACAAGAAGAAAACCTCTCTTCTAGGCTTTATCTCCCAAGAAATGCCATTAACTCTGACAAGAAACTTCCTCTTCTTGTTTACTATCATGGTGGTGGCTTTTGCATTGAAACTGCTTTCTCTCCACTATTCCATAAGCATCTTAATAACTTAGTTGCAGAAGCAAATATTATAGCAGTTTCTGCTGAATATAGAAGATCGCCAGAGAATCCTCTTCCGATTGGATATGAAGATTCATGGAGTGCACTTAAATGGGTTGCTTCCCATGTTAATGGAAATGGACCTGAAGAGTGGTTAAATAGCTATGCTGATTTTGGAAAGGTATTTTTAGGTGGAGACAGTGCAGGTGGTAATGTAGCACATCATATGGGTATAAAAAATGGGAAAGGGAAATTGTTAGGTGTAAATATTATAGGTATTGCTTTAGTGCATCCTTATTTTTGGGGGAAAGAGCCTATAGGCAATGAAGCTAAAGACAGTGAAAAGAGATTTCTCGCTGAAGCTCTATGGCATCTTGCCTGCCCTACAACAAGTGGGTGTGATGATCCATGGATTAACCCCCTTGTTGATCCTGACTTGGGTAAGCTAGGGTGTAGCAAGATTCTTGTTATGGTTGCTGAGAAGGACTTGTTAAGGGATAGAGGATGGCACTATTATTATAAATTGAAAGAGAGTGGATGGAAAGGTTTAGTGGAGATTATGGAGAGTAAAGACGAGGATCATGTATTCCACTTGCAGAACCCTAGTACTGAAAATGCTCTGGCTGTGGTCAAAAGATTGGCTTCTTTCATCAATGAAAATGCAGCTTAATGGATACAATGGATGCCCTTCAAAAATAAACGGACTTGCAATAATTTTAAAAATTTTGGGCCTTGGTTATTATTGTAATATAAGAAGTTCCAAGATATTTTATTTTTAGATGTATCATTTCATATGCATGTTGTCCATTAAAAGTTGGATTGGTAATGGAGGATGTTGTCTTGTACAGGTCAAACGATAGGGTTACGGTATCATATGAGGATTCGAAGCTAATTAAGGACAGCGCTAGTTGCAGATCAATTAAATCTCTTCTTGTATAGAATTGGGAGGGTCGGTTATATATTATACGTATCAATAATAGGATTCGACAACTAAATTTAGGACAGCCTAGTTTGCAGATCAATTAAATCTCTTCTGTATAAGAATGGGAGGTCGGTTATCATATTATAGAGTATATTTATATATATATAATATATAAATATATAATATATCTGGAATGGTTAGTTAATTGGCTGGAAATTTTTTTTTTTGATTTTATATGGGAATGGTTAGTTATGCTGAATTTTTTTTTTATTTATCTTTTATGTTATATGCAATAACAAAAAATTACAAAATATATATGAAATATTTTGAACAAATTATGCAAATAATAGATGCAAGCAAATTTAGTATTAATTATGGTATTTCATTATGCAACCATATTATAAGGTCGTATTATTAATTATGATATTTCATTAACATGGTGGTAATTCTAAACTTTATCAATCATTATTATACACTTCCTCGAATTAATTTCACTGGAAGGATCTGAATCGTATATCCAATTCAATTTTTATGTTCCCGTATTTATAACAATAAAATGTCTTTTACTGCAATTGTTAATTTCCAGTTGCTGGACTACCACGTGTTTAACGCGTGGCTTTTTATTTTAAATGAAAAATCCTTTCTAATCTTCTCTCTCTCTTCCACTCAACCCTCCATCCTCATCCTCTCTCTCTCTTTTCCTCTGATATCTAGCAGATCCATAGTCAAAGATCTCAACTTTATACAAAAGCAGATCCAGTTTTCCATCAAAAAGGAATAAGAAAGCAAATGGATGGTGAACAGAAAGTTTTCATCTTGGCTGAAGTGTCCGAGCACAACAAGCGTAAAGACTGTTGCGGCAAGGTGATTTTTTGTTTTATTGTTTTTTTTTTTTTTCATATTTTCTACTTGGACTTTGCTTTCTTGCTATTTGCATTTTTCTTGTGAATTTTTTCGCCATCTCTATTCTCCATATCATATTCATCGAGTTCTACAGCATCGAATCATGTATTTAATAAAGAGGAGGATAGCGGAGCTTCATCAGCAGCGACAGCGGCATCAGCATCAAAGTATGAGGACTGGACTATAAAGAGGAGGAGGATGGTTGCTGGACCTATAGGAACCCAGGAGATGCAAAGAATCTTTGTAATCGATTGGATTTGTTAATTTGGGGATTGTGCGAGTTTTATTGGAAAAGTTTTAGGTTCAATTGACTGGTTTCAAAATTGTTGGAAATTGATTAAACAAGATCTGATTTTGGATTTTTGATGTTCATTATTTTCTTGAAGCCACTAGAAAATCTTTTTGCTATGAATGAATCTCCTTATCCTGCAAAATGACATTCATTATTGCTTCTGAGAAATGGGTTTATATTTTATCCAATATATTGGATCATTTGTGGTGACTAAGAGAGGAAAGAAGTGAGAGAGAGAGAGAGAGAGAGAGAGAGAGTGAGGATAAAGAGCTGAGATGGAAGAGAGAGAAAATTAAAAAGGATTTTTTCATTTAAAATAAACCACGTGTTAAATACGTGGCAATCCGGCGAAAATTGTCAATTGCAGCAAAATACATTTTATTGTTACAAATATAAGAGTTTAAGTATTTTTGAGTTACAAAATTAAAATTGATAGCCCATTAAATGATTGGGTATATACTTTAGGATCTTTCAGCGAAATTAATCCACACTTCCTCTAAAATTCAATTGCCACCAGCGACTTTTCTCCGTCCTAATAAGCTTTTTTTTTTTTTTTTTTATCCACACTTGCCTCTAAATTCAAGTTGCCACCTAGTAGCGACTTTCGTCCGTCCTTATATAAGTCTTTTTTTTTTTTTTTTTTTTTTTTTTTTTTTTCTTTAGTGTGTAGGGACTCATTTTCTAAAGATCCACCCATCGATTTTTAGTTATTCGCCATTTTATGAGATTCCATAGCAACGATTGAATCACCTCAATTATAGAAAAAAAAAGTAATTTAATAAATTACTCTTTAATTGATGTTCATTTAATTCAGAAAAATTTAATAGGGATATCTAGACAATAATAAAATTGAAATAAATTAATCGATACTATCATGATTTTTTGAAAGTATGGGTGGCCATATTACGTTTTCGAGAACCAAAACCGGAGATTTTCGGTTCGATTCCGGTTCCAATATTGTTGGAACCGCAAACCGGTGGTTCCACAAACCGGTCGGAATCGGATGGAACCGCCGGTTCTCCAGCCGGTTAGAACCGGCGGTTCTAGCCGTTAGAAAATGTAAGATTTATTTTTTTTTTTTAAATTTCGTTGTGAAATCTCTTCAGGTGAGTAAGAACTACCTGGGCTTTAATTCCTCTAAACCCCAAGAGGATACGTAGGCAACTTAATTTTTTTTAAAAAAAAAAAATTAAGTTCAACTTAATTTTTTTTAAAAAAAAAAAATTAAGTTCAAGCCCTTTTTTTTAAATTATTAGTTCAATACTTGTTAAACAAAAAATAAATTCAGGGTTGAAGACTTTTTTTAAAAAAAATAATTAAGTTCCAAGTCTTATGTAAAAAAAATAAATTTTAATTGAAGGCATTTTTTTTTTAAATTTTTTTAGGTGTACTTCTTTTTTTTAGAAAAACTTCACAAAATTTTTTGAATTTTGAAAAACTCGGTTGCGCCTTCAAAAATTTTAAAATTTTAAAATTATATTTTGAAAATTTAAAAATTATGCCAGGATTTGCTGGAAAAACTAATCGGCACACCGCCGTGTCTGGTTTTGAAAGCCGTTAAGGAACGCGGAACGCGTTCAGTCTTTAAAAAAATAAATTTAATTGAAGCATTTTTTTTTAATTTTTTAGGTGTATTTTTTTTTAGAAATAACTTTCACAAATTTTTTGAATTTTGAAAACTGGTCTTCAAAATTTAAAATTTAAAATTATATTTTGAAATTTAAAATTATGCGATTTGCTGGAAAACTAATCGGAACCGTCGGTTTTGAAACCGTTAAGGAACCGGAACCGTTCGGTTCCAAACAGGAACCGGAACCGAAAATTTTCGGTTTGGTTTCGGTTCCAAATTTTTTGGAACCGGAACCGTGGCCACCCTTATTTGAAAGTGTCATCTAAATGGCAAAAAAAAAAAAAATCAAAAATTACTACTATCAATTTTAGGAACGAAAAGAGTACTATTTATGGGGATTTTATACCCATTATTGTTTGTTAGAGTAATTCATGTTTGTAATTAACCTGCATTTATGTTAAAACTAAAAATTATTCCCACCGACCCATAATTTTTATTCTACTTTCTTTTCATCTATCCTAAATTGTTGTCCTGTTTTCTTTTTTATAAATGAATAATATTTTAAATTTACTATTTAACCTTTATTTAAAGTTTACTATATAATTAAAGTACCATATATCATTAATTATATCATGATATAAACAAAATTAACATATCAACCTTTAATCTTCTAATAAAAGTTTTATTTAATTAAATATTTGGTTAATTTCAAAAATAATTTAATATGGGTCATTTAATTTTTATGGATATGAACATAAGGGCATATTAGAAAAAACAAACAAAAAAAAATTTTATTTTAACTAGAATAACTAACTTTTCTTAATATGTGTGTAAGTTAAACTAGGACGAAATAACGTCGTCTAAAAAAAAGGTCCTTCAAGGTCTACTCTTCTTAACAAGGTCGTCTCTCCCTTTCTCTCAAATCCTAGAAGCGCTCTTTTTTTTTTTCCACGGACGGCCACCGGTGAGCTCTCACCAATGCTCACCCCTTTTCCTTTTTTGTTTGTTTTTTCAAATAATTCTCAGATCTATAAATCTGAGTTATTGTTCCCCAATATTGAGATTTATTGTTACCCATATATTGAGATTTATTGTTACCCATATCTTCGGGATTTTTGTTCTCAAATCTAGTTTTGAATTATTGTTATCACCATTATAATGATTTTGTCTAGAGTATTTTGTTATATGGACAGTTATGCAGAAAGAAGTGCAGATCTTCTCTAATAGAAGGAAGAAATTTGAAGGTAATTAGATTGAATTTATAAAAAGATCATGGAGTCTAATAGTGGCCATGAATAACCATCAACTGGAGCAAGAGATCGCCTATAGCATAAGTGTTATGCTCTATCAACTCAATTAGATACTTCAAATCAAGATAGTATTTTTTTTTTTTTGTATAGATTGTTTATTATTAAACCTTCTATACAAAAGTATATAGACATATTGATCTATATCCTATATCTGAATACAGTTTCTTTTTAATAAAATTTTTAGTTTGATTTCTTCTCAAAAAGAAATTAGGACGAAATATATGCGATGGAGGGAGTTACAATAATGAAGCATTACCAATTATATAGTCAACATTAATGTGCATGTTCTTGAATCCTCCCCCTAAAGTTAATTCAGCATTAAAATTCCGGAAAATTACTTACTTCTGTTATATTGGATTTAATCATATACTAAATATATGTAAGTCTAATTCAAAATTCCATGTGTATAAGCCTCTATAATAATACCATAATTATCGATGCTTCTTCTAGTGCTATGGAACTGCTCATATACCAAATCAATATGTAACTATTTTTTTCTCTGTAAATGGCGAAAAATACTTCTATTTTTTTCAATTTTTACTTCAGACAGCTATATAAATAGTTAACCATTAATAATTAATATTATGCAGATCATCAGAACCATTAGTTTCAGTTAGAAAAAGATGGAACTAAAACCAAACTGCTTTTTAGGTGGTTTCTAAGATAATTTTGATACTGGTTTCGGTTTTGTTTCGGTTTTGTTCCGGTTTTGAATAAAAAATAAATAATTTATTTTGAGCTTTTAAAATTCTTTTTTAGATTTTTAGCTTGAATAAATAATAACAATAATAATAATTATTATTGAAAAAACTAAACCAATTTAATGAAAAATATTAAAATTTATTTTAAAAAATTATAGTGAAACAAAAAACAAATTAGAATTTTTTTTTTATATACTTACACGAAGTGTCTAGGTTCGTGTCCGTTTTAACCTTCCACAGTAAACCTGACTAATTCTTGCTCTCTCTCGAAGGCAAAAGGGCTAGTCCGAGAGGGGTTTGCATTGCGAATGATAGAACTATGACCTAAGTTATGGTGATCAACCTTGCGAGTATTCTTTACTACTAAGTTAAAAATTAAAAATTTCTTTAAGAATATATTTTTTACGGTTTCAAACTGGAATCATCAATTTTAAACTAAAACAACTTGTTTTGGTTTCAAAAAATAAAAGAGTTGGAACTGAACTTTAAATATACGATGTTACGGTTTAGAATTAAGAACTATTGACTATAATTTAGTGCTTATTTTGACATGTTCGGTTTCAATTCAATTTCAATTTAAAATCAAACTGCGATCATTTTTAGGTAATATCTAACAGCTAACCGTTAAAAAACAACCAATGAAAAGTTATAGTTAAATGATAACAAGTTCTCTCTCTCCAATTTCATGTAACTTAAATTAATTTCTATACCACTTGTCACTAAAAATAAAATTGATAAATTTACAAAAACTACTCCATTCAAAAGATTTTCTTAATTTCCATATTAAAATAAACCCGAATAATGATCATAAGATTGAAAGAGAATTTTATTTTCATGAATACAATAAAATTCCCCTTTCATCTAAAACAAATTCAAACAGTCAATCCATTCCAAACTAATAAATATTTTCTTTTTCTCCTCTTGATATAGAGGAAATACATTTATTGCTTATAGGAAAAGCAATTGTGAATAACATTTTTGTTGCCACAAAAAATAGAGATATCCCATTAACCAAAAGCCAAAATTGGAGATATTCCACTTAATAATTTCCCATCCCAAAGACAAAAACAAAACAAAACAAATTTCAACTTCAAAATTAATATTATCTTTTTTTCTCAAAAAAGAAAAATCAAAAACTTTAATCTTGTTTAATGAAATCAACCATTCTCTTCATAAGAATCTCAATATTCTTACTCTTAGGATTGAAGAAATGGAAGCAGTGTTCTTCCTCTTTAGTCTCATAAAACTCCACAGTGCCACCCCATTCACATTTCTTCATTGTTTCGTAATAATCTTCCCCTCTACTCTTTAAAAAATCTTTCTCCGCCACACAAACCAACACTTTATCACACTTCAGTTTCATCAAATTCGGATCCGATTTCGGGTTCAGTTTCGGGTCATCCTCTGTACCAGAACTTGTTGGGCACATATATTGGTAAAATTTATCTGGCTCTTTACACCCAAAATATGGATGCACTATAAGTAATCTAGTTATTTTCACTCCAGCCAATCCTGTAGCACCAGCTTGGACGGCGATGTAGTGGGCAAGATTTGCTCCGGCACTCTCACCCGCCAAAATCACCCGATCAAGATCCGCATGTTCATTTATCCATGGCTCGGGGCCTTTCCCATTAGAGTGGCTGGCGACCCATTGAAACCCCGCCCATGAATCATCATATGCAATAGGTAATTTGTGCTCAGGAGCAAGTCTATATTCAACGGACATACATATGACATTGGCTTGTGAAGTTAAAGCAGAGAGAAAGCTTTTGAATGGAGTACTAAGAGCTGACCCGACGCAAAACCCACCACCATGATAGTGGACGAGGAGGGGAAGTTTTCGGGTGGGGTCAGCAATTTTTGGGAGGAAAATACGGGCCTTTACGCCAGTTTCTTCAGAGATAACAACATCTTTGGATTCAATACCTGTTTCAGGATCCAGGCATGGAGGAGAAAAATCCGAGTTCATATATCTTTCAATATGGCCATCTTCGAATACCTTGAAGAAGCCTGGAAAATCATGGGTAATGTTAGTGGAGGCAGTAGCCATTGGAACTTGGAAAGAGAGGTTTGGATGTGGTGTGAAGTGGGTTCTTAAAGATATTGGAAAGTGCAAGTTTAGGAGAGAGTAGGGATTCGATTCAAACGTGTGGTGGTCAGTAAGAGACTATTTCTTTGATGAGAGTTTTATTAGAGGTCAGAAATAGTTAATCAACCTATTGATTGCTTACCAACTATTATCAAGATTTTGAACCGAGAATTCAGTTTAGCATTGATTGTGTCAAATATTTCCGTAAGTACATTAACTAACACAACAAACCTTTTAAATAGGTGGGAGATTGAGAAATTGACATGTCCTAATTTCACTACTCCTCCGGTCCGACCTATTATGTGTACTTTTAAGATTGTTTTACAAATTAAGGAAAATGATTAAGAATCTCAAGTTTAACCTAAACAAAAAAACAAAAAAGTTGTAATTGACAAAATTACCATTTTATCTATTCTTTAATTACTTGATGCATATTTAATGTAGATATGGGTAATCCCTAAGTAAATCACATAGCATGAGAACGGTGAACCAACTAAAATGGCTTAGGTCATTTTGTGTTAAAGACAATCCTAATTGATTATAAGCCCAATATTAAACACATAATTAAATTTGATTGGTTAATTCTTAACAATATTGAAATATATATAACATATTTGAAATTATATATATAATATCTTATATATATATATATATATAGTGAGTGAGTGCGAATTCCTATTAAAATGAACAAAACTTCCAATTATAAATTAATATATTCATAATATTTCAAAATAATATAATAAAATAATATAATTTATAGTATATAAAATTATATCTTATCAACTTACCCTTAATAAAATTTATTGTAAATAAATATATATCAATTTATCCTTAATAGAATATATTGATCATAAATAAATATCATTTATTTATTTATACTAATCAAACATACTCAGAAACTTTAGTAATAAATAATATGATCAATGCAAATTATAAGTTTTTGTGTAATCACTTGGTCTCGTTTAATATAATTAATTATATTTTTACCGTCTGTTTATTATATTCTTATCATATTTATTAAATAAAAAGTATATAAATTTATATATTATTTAAAATAAAAACTATAGTCGCATCTTGCAATAATATAATTGCATATAAAGTTTTATATTTAAATATATTAACCAAAGAATTTATATTTAAATATAAAAATTAAAAATCAATCAAAATTAAATTACCTTTATTTTTTTCAATATGCCATATTGAAAACAATCTATTTAATTGCAATATAAATATGTCATATATTGCAATATTTAATTGCAATATAAATATGCCATATATTGGCTAATTATTATTATTCGTTTAATTATTAAAACAATCTATCGTTCGGTATTTCATCTATAATTCAATTCTTTTTGAATCTCATAATAAGTCTGAGCCTGCGTTAAATAGAAAAACTAATAACCAATCAAAATTAAACACTTTTATTTTTTCGACCAATAGAATCAGTTCATAAATTTAGTAGGGCATATAAACTAACTAGAGAATTTATATTTAAACAGAAAAACTAATAACCAATTAAAATTAAATTACCTTTATTTTTCAACCAATAGATTTAAAATCTTTCAAGATATTTTTGTCAATCCATAAATTTAGTATGGATATTTTAGGGACCAAATGTTCCCCTATTCGCACATTTATATTTATACTAGTCTACTTTATGACGTGCGTTGCACGTTGACTATGTTCATTATATGTTCATTTTTTATATTTGTTTAATTTTTTATTTATATAATATTAAAGTATAAATTCTTATTTAGATTGAGTGGTTAAATTATATTACACTTTATATATAGTGGTTAAATTATATTACACTTTATATATACAGCAAATATTTTTTTGATTATATGTCAACGTACTGATTTATACAGTTTTTATTACATATTAGTTGTTTTCATTTTATTTTTTAAGAAAAAACCAAATTGATTTATAAAAATCATCATATGGCTTCTATAATACGTTTTATAATTAATTTACATGTTTTGGTAATAACTTTCACTATAATCTCTTATAGTAAATAAATATACATTAACAATATAATAAAAAGGCAATCTAATAAATCGAATTAATAAATAATAATATTTTTTTATTTTTTTATTTTTTAAGCCAATCAAAATCATGAAAGCATTTTAAAAATTATTCATAATATTATGTTCTTTAATAGAAATAGGATTTGAATTATATAAGATATCAATAAAACTAATTAAATTTGAGATGTTTAAAAATAATAATTTTTTATCTTATTTTTTAGCTAATCAAATTAGAGAGTAATTTGTAATTAAAGAAATTTAACTATACCCTTTTTAATCAAATCTAAATCATCTAGATTTATTTATCTAAACTAAATTCAACAAAATATAAAAATTATCAAATACCTCATTTACATATATTATTTAAAATAATAGTGTTGAAGCTAAATTATAAATTATAATAATAATAAAATAATAATAATAATAAATTATTAATAAATTATTAAATTATTATTAATAATTTTTTAATTCATTGAAGGCTTTTATGTGCTAAATAACACTATGGTCGAGAAGATTCGAACTAGAGACCTCCCACTCCTCACATAATTAAGTGAGAAGACTAATAAGATCACCACCTAATTGGCAATTATTATCAATAATAATTTAAATAATAATATAATGAAATAAAATATAATTAGACATAATAAGATAACAATAGTTAAAATTTAAAATTTTGAAATGCTTATTATTTCTATTTATTTATCTATTAAAAAAGTCAAAAAAACATCCAATCAAATTATAGAAATATATAGAAATATTATATATATTTTTAGGTTAAAAGTTTTAATTGATTAAAATAAGATTATTTTAGGATATCTTAAATTTTACAAGGACAATATCTGCAATCTCATTATTTTGCCCTGATTTTCACTTTTATATATAGTATAGATTATATTATAATATAATATGTTAGGATTTTATTAATAACTTCAAATCCATATAAATAATACCCGCAGTTACATTACCCGTCTCTTTTAGACCATACATAGAATAAAATTATCATAACTAAAATTTTAAAATAAAGAAAGTTCACTAATATTATATATATATATCATATATATATAAGAATTTGACTTAGCACTCTCTCCATCAAGCATTCATATTTCTCTTTTGTTACAATTTTTTAATTTCTGCCTTATTTTTAAAAATTTTTTATTGGGTGGTTCTTTTAAATTTTTTATAATAATAATAAATTTTTGAATTTATATATATATATATACCTCCCAATTTCAATGATTATTTCACACTAGTTTTCTTTGCTTTGTTGTTTCTTTGGATTATTTTGCTTCTTCACAATGGTTTTCACCATATTAGCAACTTCAATTGATATATATATCACACTTCTTCTTCTTCAATTAAGTACAATAAGTTGTATGATATAGAGTACATTTAGTAGTAGGTTTTTTCTTTGTCTATGTAATTTTTATGCTTATAAATGAAATGTCATTATTTATTTATTTATTTATTTATTTATTTATTAATTATTATTATTATTATTATTATTACTTTGTCCTTTCTTTCTTTTATCCATTTTGCGTACTAGAGATTATTATTATTTACATAAATGATTTAAAAGAAAAAAAGAAAATATTAAATTCAATAAATACATTGAAATAACAAAGAGAGCTTATAAGATAACATCTAATAAATTAAAAAATGTACATCTAATAAATGAAAAAAAATACATTTAATAAATTAAAAACAAATACATTTAATAAATTAAAAATAAATTTAGATACCATTTATATGTAAAATGATATTCTTATCCTTTAAATATTATTTTTATTATTTAAATATTAGAAAATTATATCTTATTATTTAAATATTAGAAAATTATATCTAGTAATCATATTTTAAAATTAATATTCATTTACAATAATTATTTATATTTATTTTCAATTTTAAATTTTGAACTTTTTTGTTTTTCATTAGAACACTTAAAATACTTTTTTTTTAAGTCTAAAATTTAAACTTATTACTTATTTCAAATAATTATCTAATTTATATTTGAATTTTGAATATTTTTAATTTTATTTTATGTCCATTTATTTATAATGATTATCAATTTGTATACTTATATATCTTCATCACCTTCACACTTGAAGATGATCAAAAAAAAAAACTTGTAAGTGAAATAATTTTATTCATATTTGGTGAAATAAAATATTTGATAAAATAATTTTATTCATCATCACCATCATAGTTGAAAATGGTCAATTTTATTTTCTAGCAAGAATTATATGGTACAAATATCATTTATTATTTAATATTCACTTTATGATTTTAATTTTAAAAAAAATTATAAATGAACTTGGTTTTTCTTTTATTTGCAATTGCAAAAAGATTTGAATAAAAAAAATCACATAATCAATGTCAAAATTATAATAATTTTCTAAAATTGAAAAATGAACAAAATTCATATATATATATTTTAAAAAATAGTCTAATAAAAGTCATAAAAATTTAATTTTATCAATACAAATAACAGTAATTGATAACTCATCTAAATCTATTTTTTAAAAGAAAATAAAATTTCGCACAATGCGCAGGCCTTTACCTAGTTAATATGAATCTTGATGAAACAATGGAACATAAACTTGAAAAATTGACAGACTTTCAAAGTGTCTTGCTAAACAAACTCCTTGAATATTTTGCATATGACATAATTACCAATGAAATAGATGCTTATGACCAAAACAAAAAATTTGAACCACTAACCAATGATGGAATAAGCCCGAGCTACTACTGGCCCAAAAGACAAAAATTATCATTTATTTAATAAATTCTCTTCAAATTACACATTTTGTCTAAAGAGAAACAAGTTAAATGAAAAAAAAAATAAATGGAAAATAAAAATAATACTCCAAATAAAATGTAGAGAGATCACAAGCTACATAAAAGATGGAGATGGAGATAAACCACAAGAAAATAAAAAAAATATAAACAACATAGAATTATGTAATTTATTTGATAAAAAACATAATTGCAAAAGCAAAAAAAAAAAAAAAAAAAAAAAAAAAAAAAAAAAAAAAAAAAAAAAAAAAAAAAAAAAAAAAAAAAAAAAAAAACAAGAGGGAGAGGTTTTCATAAGAGACAAGAATTACATGCTTGATGCTTGTTTTTGGATGGAGAAGAAAAAAGAATTTTAACAAAGAAAAGAAGGGAAAAATAGAGAGCTGCTAGGGTGTTAACAAAAGTAGGAATTTCTTCGATCCATATGAGCTCATCTATGTATGATGATAGAGCCTCTTTAGCAATCAAATGTGCTACCTTATTGGTAACCTATTGAAATGAAGAAAAGAATTGAGCTAAACTCTTTAGCTTTAGCAGTCTGTTTCCAAACTCGAAGATGAGAAAATAATTCTTTGGCAGATGCTTCCCGGTGGAGAGGCAATCAATCTCTAAACAAACATCACGAAAACTTATTTCTATAGATTTTTCCAAGGAAAAATTGTTTGCTTCTATCTCAGCTCTTCAAGAGATAGGCTATAATGCAATCGACGAAGAGCAGTAGCCATGACTTCACCCTTTTCATTTCGAACAATCATTCCCAATCCACAAGCGTCAACCTCCTCAATTGCAGCATCGTTGTTAAGTTTTAGGATACTTGCTATTGGAGGAATCAAATTTTGAGATTCTTTGATCAACTGATGTGGAATTACAGTCCATCAATTTTTTTCTAATCATTCTCAATGTATTTTTGCGAATAATTTCAATTAGTACTCGAAACTATTAATATTTGATCAAAATTTGTGATTTGGATAAAATCCTTTTTCATTTCCAAGAAACTTTAATATGGCGTTAATATTATTTAATATTAACCAATAAAAGAAAAATGTAAATATTTGAGAAATAACTTACCTTTGAAAAATAACTTACCTTTTAAAATATTTTCCTAGGAAAATGTTTTACTTCAAAAATATGTTTCAAATGACTTATTTTCTGTTGTTTGGCTGTAATACCGAAGATTGGTTAAAAATATCTATAAGTTCTCCAGATTTGGCCTTATTGGTTTCTAACTAGGTGTAAATTGCATATGGCATCAAAAAGAGTTTTAGCATTATTGCTATCAGAAACAAAAACCAAGATATGTTCAACTACAGACTTCTTAATAGTCATCATAGTAAGGCGATTAGCTCTTGTCCAGACCTTATGGGCATCCTTTTGCTTGGTAGTACTACTTTCTGTGGGCACAGGAGGCTCAAGCTCATACAAGACAATATCTAGATCTTTTATTCCTAAAACAAGTTTAATATATAATTTCCATTATTTATAGTTGGTTTCAGTTAAAACTTCAAAGCTAACAGATTGGTTGTTGGCAACAAAAGTAACTACTCAAGAGATTGTCTAAACAAGAATAAGAGAAAATAAAAGAATGAGCAGTTTACATTCAAGAATAAGCGTTGAACAATTATAGCTTTATTTTAATGAAAGTCCAGGTTTATGATTATAAAATCTCCTTTGGGTAGATAATATAACATACTAATAGGTCTCTCTAATATTAGAGTAATATATAGAAAACATAGATTCCAAGAAAGAAAATATATCGCCTTTGGGTAGATATATTTTCAATCTATGAATTCTCCATAATATTAAATTTGATTAAATCTTAATTTTTTATAATAATAATAATAATAATTATTATTAAATTTATTATTATTATATATAAAATATTATATATATAAATATAATATATATATAGCAATCCTCTTGGCAGATTAATATTACATAGAAATTAGGAAAAAATTCCTATATAGCAATCCTCTTTGGGCAGATTAATATACATAGAAATTAGAAAATTCCGTTTATAAGTCTCTATAAATAACTCACTTTTATGTAGATATTCATTTGAATCTACAAATTTTCTTGCAAGACAATGTTTTATACCCAAAAAAAAATAATTTTTTTATTGAAAAATTCATATCTCCAAGATTTATATATGAGTTGCAAATTGAAAAGGCAAAAATACAACATTTATATTTTGATAATAAAATCAAAACAAATTGAAGAACCAATAATTAAAGAATTTCACAATCAATTCAAAACACCAAGCATTTGGATTATCGATTCAATCACATGTGCAATCCACAAATCAAAATCGAATTTTGATTTATATAAGTAGACTCTAATACTATATGTTAGAATTTAAGTGCCCAAGATACTCATATATAAATTGAAATTACATAAAATAAGAATAACTTACAGGTTATCTTGTTGGCTTTTATTGACACTATCGTATCCCAAAACTAGATTGAACAAAATAGAAACAACAACGCACAACTGTCCATGAAACTCCTATGTGCTTCTTCTCTATGACTACAAACTCCCAATGGATGGATAATAATTTTTTGTGTTTTGATGGTATAGACTAGAGAGAGAGAAAGAGAACATAGCCTACATATATAGTAAACTATTTGGGTCTCCCATCATAACCATAATACGATATATACGATCCTAACCTAGATTATGATTTAACCATATTTAAATCAAATACATTTAACTGGCCCATCAATACTTTTAATGGTTGCTCTTTAATAATAGGCTTTAAATTAGATCTTTTGGATTATAAGGCTTAACCCAAATATTTTATAAAACCAAATAAAACACAATCAATAAGCTCAAATAAATAAGTTTCTAAGGAAAAACTCATCTCTAAAGATTTTTCCAAGCCAAAAATTGTTGCTTTTATCTCAGCTCTTTAACAGTTAAGCTACAATGAAATCAGCAAAGAGCATTAGCCATGACTTTACTATTTTCATTTCTAACAATCATTCCAAATCCACAATCGTCAACCTCCTTAATTGCAACATCAGCGTTAATTTGACGATACTTACCGTTGGTGGAATCAAATTTTGATTTTCTTTGATCAATTGTTGTGGAATTACAATCCATCATGTTTTTTTTAACCGTTCTCGATGTATTTTTGCTACTAATTTCATTTAGTACTAGAAACTGTTAATATTTGATCAAACTTTGTGATTTGGATAAAATCCCTTTTCATTCCCAAGAAACTTTGATCTAGTATTATTAATATTAACCAATAAAAGATAAATGTAAATATTTTGAGAACATAGTAATTTAGTACTTCATGGAGAATAATCCCGACTCCGCAGGCTACATTATTGTTAATGGAAATGAGCAATACCATCATCATCAAATCCTAAATCTCAAAGCCACATGTCATTCGTTAATGAAAGAAACAAAGTCTTTCATAAGAGACAAAGCTTGCTCGCAATTAGGATTTGATAAATGAAAAGCATGGCCTGCTCCTTCATGTACTACCATATTTGCCTTTCCTTTCCATCCAGATTTCTTCAACTCCTTATAGTAAGAAATACCAGCTTTTCTGAATAGATCTTTTTGAGCTATAAATACTAGTACCCTTTCACACACAGTACTGGCCATATCCTTCACAGCTGGTTTTAACCTAGGGTCCTCTAACCCTCCATTCGTAGGGCATACAGACAACCACATTTTATCAAAATGTGTTGTGCCCTTAAAATAAGGGTGCACCAAAATCATCCCTTCAAGCTTGACACCATCTAACCCATATGAACCTAGCCTTACAGCCACATTATATGATATATTTGCACCTGCACTATCACCTGCCATGAAAACCCTACCAAAATCTCCATAATCACTTAACCATGGTTCTGATCCATAACCATTTGCATGGGAAGCTACCCATTGGAGGGCTGCCCATGAGTCATCGTAGCATGTTGTTACTGGGTTCTCTGGAACTTTTCGGTACTCGACTGAGACAGCTATGACATTAGCCTCATGAACAAGACAAGTTAGATATTTGTGATAAACTGGGTCAAAAGCAGATCCCAATGCAAATGCACCTCCATGAAAGTAAACAAGAACTGGGAGTTTTACATTTGGATTATTGGGCATTTTGGGTGTGAAAATACGAGCAGAAATATTGGGTTTGAGGGAAATAGTTACATCTTTCGATCTAACACCTGTGTGAGGATCATCAGAAGGTGGGATTTTCTCAATGGGTACATATCTTTCTACGTGACCATCTTCATGTACTTTGAAGAAAGGAAAGAAATCTCGTGCTATGGCCTTTGTGGTGTTCGAACTCATTTGCATTTTTATTTTCGTATAACCACGAGGAGTAATCCCTCTCGAGCCATAGAGCGTAAAAGTTTTTGCTCCTCCCAATAAAGTGCGTTTCCCAAGGATCGAACTTATGCTATCATCTTTACGGGGATAGAGGTCACTTACCACCCCAACGAACACCTTATTGATTAAATTCATTTGCATCTTTGATTGCAATTGTGTGTGAGAGAGTGGGTGAAACAAACACCCTAATAGTGTACTTATATTGAACTTGAACGTCTATTGTGGGTTAGGATTAAACATATAATAATTTTAATCTATATAATAATAGGATTAAACATCAAAGTGAGGATGGGAAACATTCATTAACCAAAGAAAAAAAAAAGGTTATCTTCTAAAGGAAGTCATTAACAAAATACATATTTGTACTTAGCATCATGTTAACAGATCGATACAAGAAAAGAGTGAAAAAGAATCTTAAGAATTATCATTATGATAGAATAATAATAAGTCAACAGATTATATATATTACATATGTTTAACTCAATATATTATTTTGTTTTTGCTTTCAATTTAATATATTAAATAAAAAAACTCAACTATCTTATTGCATATATTTAAGTTTAAGTTTTCTAGCTACCTTATTGCATAAGGAGTTTTCTGTGCACTCTTCTTTATTTCTAAGAAAAATATTAAATCAAAACGTGATTATACTTGCTCTTTATTTTTTGCATGGAGGGATAATTTTGGTTGGCTTAGGCTCTTTTATTTATGAATTATGAAGATTGGTAGACAAACACATAAAATACTTTTGTCCATTAATTTCAGTTATCCAATCTTTTTTTTCATTGGCGGAAAGCAAGTTCTTTGCCTTTTTTTTTTTTTTTTTTTCTTTTTTTTTTTTTTTTTGTTAGTTTTATAATTTTTTTAGAAATTATATTGAAAAATTTATCATTTGTATATAAAATTTTATATACAAAATTTTATTTATTGATTATCCCTCAATCAGAAAACAGATACAGCAAATCAAGGCTGAGATAAAGCATTACTTGATATTTCAGAATTATACCATTGATTTTGTAGTTTTTCTATTGCAACACTTGATAAAAGTAACGAATTAAGACCGGCTCTACAAGAAATCTTGATAGGATGGGCTTTAAGATCTTGAGTAAGCCGTTACCATTTTGTAAATTTTGATGTTTTTTTTATTTGTAAAGTTTTTTTTTTTTTTTCTTTATAGTATACGTGTATTGCATATTACTTTCTTTTTTTTTTTTCATTCGTATTAGTTTTAGTTTTATGACTTCCGTTCAGTTAGGCAAAAGGCAAATAGAGGAAACATTCCCTTGTTTTATAGGAAAAATTAACAATTATGAACATTAATATAGAAAAAAGATTGGACCAATTCTAGAAACCATATGGCAAAAATAAAATTCTCAACTATAAACCTTCTCAAGGGTAGACATGGTCGGTTCATTGAACCGCGGGTTCAAAATTTTTAAAATGTTGAACCTAAACTGCTCTTGAACTGTCCATTCCGGTCCGGGTCTAATTTCGGTGCGGTTCCGATGAACTGGCAGTTCCGGTCACGATTTCCGGCGATATATATATTTTTTTAAAAAAAATTGATTCTAACGTTACATCTTTCTTTCGAAAATATTAATATGAGTTTAAAAAATATTTGTAAATTTATTTTAAATAAATTTTAGAATGCTCATACTCATGTAAGAATAAAATTAATTAATTTACAAAATAATCAAATAAGTTATCACATTATCACTTTATTTTATTTAAATATTATTAATAAGAAAATTTTGAAAATACTTCAAAAGAATATAATTTTAAATTTACTAAACAATTTAAATCGTTAAAAAAAAAAAGGTTAAAATAATATAAGTTTAGACTAAATATTTCTCTCTTTTTTTACCATTTTACTTTTTAGATTTTTAACTTTTAAAACAAAATGTATTAAAAAAAATCTTAAGTAAAGTATATTATGTAGTAAAGTGTATTTAAAAAAAATATTTAAGTAAAGTATATCATGTAAGTTAAAATATTTATTGAGATTTTTAGAAGATGTATTTAAAATAGGCTAGAATTATGAGATTTTTAGAGATGTATAAAATAGGCTAAGTAATTATTATTTTGAAAATAAAAATAAAAAATTTTCGGTTTGAACCGGACCGGAACCGCCGGTTAACCACTGGTTCAGGTTTATATTCTAACATTCACATGAACTTAACCGGCCTTTGAACCGCCGATTCTGGTTTAAAATTTTAAACCAAGGGTTCCAATTCATTTATAGTACGTTTCGGTTCCGGTTCCGGTTCAAAATGCACCGATGGCCATGCCTACTCAAGGGCATGAGGAGGCTTTGCGCCCCCTCATAATTAATGTCAACTAATTCTTTTTGAAAATTACTTGTCTAGACCAGGTCTATAGCCACACTTATAGACCAAACCAATCACAGTAAGAATTCTTTAAAAAGAATTTCGATTTTCTTTTTTTTTTCTCAGTGTATGGTCAAAAATACTCACGTTTCAATAAAAAAACCTTATTCTCATTTATTTTTTAGGCAAATAAAAGCTTTATCATGATATAAATATCCAAGTAACAATTGACAATAACATGACGTTATTGTACAGAAACATGCGAAAAGCTAGTTCTTTAAAATATGTTACTGTCTTAAAAAAATTGTGCTGGCTGCTTCTTCTTCTTCTTCTTCTTTAAGTCAAGTCAAGTCAAGGATGCTTTAAAAATGGTTTTCTATTGGAATATCTTAAAGTCAATAAATAATTTCAATATTTTTAATTGTTCTCCAGTTATGTAGCCATCAAGAGTATGTATTATATTCAGTGATTCTTGCTTGAAAACACATTAAAGTTAAGCACAAGTTTTATTTATTTATTTTATTTTTTTTTTGTTTTATTATTTATCTCTCTTCAAGAAATTGTTGACCAAAGTGTGATTTTGGTAGTATGTACTTTGATTCTAGAAGTCAAAAGGATCGTTTTCCTCGTGTCAATTCTGTGTTTCTGGCAAGCACATGAATAGGTTGTGCGTCCACTCTGTTAAGTAATTTGTTCTTCAAGCCATGATGAGGTATCGTGCGTTAATTTTATTTGAATTCTAAAACATAGTAACTTTTACAAAATAGTCAAATATAAAATATATAAATTCACTTTTAAATTTTATAATTTTAATTTTGTAGCATTCTGAATTTCATGGATAACCTATATATTATACACTTGAACTTGTAAAATTTGGTAATTGTCACGCTTTTTATACTAACAACAACAATTTTTTTTGCTTTTATGTACAAAATATTGATTTAATATGTAATTAGTACAACTTTTAGAATTTTCACTTGTTTCAATTATCTAATAAGTGTTTAATTAATTGATTTAATTTTGTAAGTTGAAACGTTTTATAAAATAATTAATTTTATAAGTTGAAGTGTTTAATAAGTATATATTGTATAAATTAAAGCGTTTGATAAGTCAAAATAATAGTTTAAATGTCATAAGATTAATAACAAAGTTCAGAGGTGAATTTATGTATTCAGTATATACAAAATACTAAAATTTTATAAAATATTACAACAACAATATATTACTTTGTAAACAACTCTTTAACAGAAACCAGACATTTTTTTTACAAAATATTTACAAAATATTGATAACCAGATCTATTATTTTATAAACCACCAACTTTTACAAAGAAAAGAACCATATTTTATGAAATGTTAGAAAATATTACAAAATGTTTGCAAATATTATAAAATAATCACCTTTTATAAAATATTTGATATTACATAATATCGGCAAACAAGGTTATTATTTTGTAAACTACCAACTTTTAGAAAAAAAGTAATTTTTTACAAAATATCTAGAAGTATTGCATAATATTGCAACAGAGTTGTTATTTTGTAATCCAACAATTTAAAAAAAAAAAAAAAAAAAAAAAAAAAATTGTAAACTTACGCAACTTTTTAGAAAAAAGTAATTTTTTTAAAAATATCTAAGAAGTCTATTTGCATAATATTTGCAACAAGAGTTGTTATTTTGTATATCCAACAATTTAATAAAAAAAAAAAGAAAAAAAAAAAAAAAAAAAAGATAAACTTTTACAAAACTTAAGGAATAATTACAAAAAAAAAAAAAAAAAAAAAAAAAAAAAGAAAACTTTTTACAAACTTTAAGGAATAATTACAATAAATTATGAACTCTGGTTAATATTTTCTAATTTTGTGATATGACATAACTGTAGAAAAATCTGTTCTTCTTTCATATTTATTTTCCTCGAGAATGAATACGGAAAAATGATATTTTGAAAAATTAGGGAATATACATAAAAGGGTTTAGAAAGAGTATATTTATAAAAATAGGACTCAATTGTAAAGATTTATTTGTATTTCTATTTCATCGTTAGCGTGTCAAGTAGTATTGGAAAACAAATTGTTATTAAACTAATTAACCAAGGGACAATTTTATAGATAAATGTCAAATAATAATTTTTCTCTTCTCTCCTTTTTATTTCCTTTTTCTCACTCTAATCTCCATAGTCAGGAATAGGGCTAGAACAATTATTTTGCAGGAACTAAATAAAATCTTTTAAACTTTTACGGGATCAAATATAATTTTTTGTAAGGATAAAAAAAAAGTTCTTGGTCCAAAAAGCTCTACCCCAGTCTATAGTCAGTATGTATTCTGCACTTCTCTCTTTTACTTCTTTTTATCAGATGTAAGTGATAGAGAAGCTCTTTCTTTACTGAATCATTGCGATTCATCCTTCCATCTTAGTTAAGATTCCAATAAATCTGATATTTATTTTTTAAAAAATTAAGAAAATGTTTTTAATGATACAAAGACGCTTTCGATTTATTGAATTTATAGAAAAATGAACCCAAAACGTTTTCGAACCATTTCTTGCCGTTCCCGCGTCTAAAACTTGGAAATTCCCTAGTCTTGCTGTTTCCATGCCTCACAACGCTCGCTGTCGTATTGCATCATTGCCTTGCATTGCATTGT